AAAAAAAAAAAAAAAAGTTTATAGAAGAGGGCACTGCCGTAGCTTAGTAAATGCTGTGTGCTGCCAAATGGAAAGCTGGCATTTGGGGAGTGTGTCGTTTCTCTAACAGTATTGGGGTATCGCACAGAAAGCAAGAGCGGCATTCTCTGAAGTAGAGTTTATAATGTGCTCCGAGCTTTTGCATCCCTGAGAGCTGGTTGTCAAGCTGCGTTGTGGTCTTGGTAGAGACTGCTCTCCCAGCCTCAGGGTACATGTAGCAATCATGGCTCCGGGGCAGCATGCTAGCCCTAGCATGACACCGCCACCACACGCAGTCTAATAATCGGCTTGCTGCCTTGTAAGAAGAAACTTTCCTTGGCAAATGTTTCTTGCTTTTGATAGAAGCAACTGAAATGCAGTATTGCTTTCTTAAGGTCTCAACAATAACAATATCATTGTGGGCAAAGGATGAGGCTAAAAAAAATTGTCAGCTCCCTGACTTGATAGTTTGTGGCACTATGTCAAGTTATGTCAGTGAGGTAGCATTATTTCATATGTCTGAAGTGACACAGTATAACTTGACTGATGTAACGTAATGTGATATTAGAAGATACCGTTTCAAGATGGAAACGTATGTGCATGTCTTCCCAAAACCAACCCTTAAAAGCTTTCATTAAAAAAGAATTATTTAAGGACTTGCTCCTGTACAACTCCAGGGTGTAAATCAATGTTGAATTTGGCCCGGTATAGCTATGTCATTTCTTTTGCCTAAGACAAACTAACCAGCCCAGTGTCTGATATACTTTATAAATAATGGGGCGATTATAGGTATTCCTCAAATATATAAATGCTGATTTAATGTTTTTAACCATCTGTTCTCTGCAATCGGAATCAATGAGCTGCCCTCGGATATCGTGACCAATGCCAAAATACCATCTTAGTCACGGCTGATTTCTGTTAATTGTTCTTTCAAGTAGGGTAAGGGTTGGGAGAGAAAATTTCCACTGGAGTTTGAAATAAGTGAAGTGAATGAAAGAAGTTCAAGGAGAAACATTATTTGGGTTATTTCTGGTGCAAATGTATGTGGCATGTGGAAGCAATGTAGGGATAACTGCGTACCGGCTCAGTGTTGCGTATTATTGCACAAAATTTTAGGCAGGTGCATTATGTCAGTCAGTTTGTATGTGCAATTACTACAAAAGTCAACTATTACAGCAAAGTTGAGAATGTACATTACTCTTAATTATGAATAAAAATATTTTAAATCCTTTCTTTTTGAAAGGGAAAACTGCCCCAAAATAAGCTGCAGCGGTCTGAGCAGAGTGAGAGTACACAAAACAAAACTTACAATTCATTAAAAAGTCAGCAGCAGCAGTTTAAAATATTATAGTTTAGAAAACCGTACTTCTGTGCTAAGCAATTTTGAATCGGAACTTTTGGGCACTAGCTTTCTCGTCTTGGCGTTACAGTTCCCGTTCCTTTTTAACTTAGTTAAATAATCACTTTATAGCTGTTGCACTCTTACCTTATGGTATAATTTTGGCTCTTGCAAACTAATATTACAGGAAAAAGAATAGTAGTTGTAAGTGCTGGATGAAATGACTCTATGCAAAATGATGATGCATTTAACATCAAATATGTTCAAGGACTGTTAGGATTAAGTATTCAAAATGAAGGGGGAGGGAAAAGCCATTTGAGCTGAGGATAAGGAATCTAATTAAAAATAGGTATTAAGGATATATAACTTGAGCTTGCTATCATGCTTTTAAAGAGTGCTGTTGTATCAGTTGTAAAGGGAAAGGAAAAGTATCATTAAAATGAGAATAAAATGTTTTCTTGGATTAAAAAAAAAAGGACACAGCTGAAATGCTGTTTAGCTCAGCATTAAAGGACCTGATCCTGCAGAGCATTAAAGGATCTGATCCTGGAACATTTACTGACAGGATTGAGAGTAATGGTCTACTCATGTGAGTAAGAATAGCAGATCATATCTCCTAATAATTTGGCATTAGTAGAATTTACTGGCACAATGGTGTATATGAACAGGTAGAGCAGTAGGTATGGGCTACCTTTTGTATTTGGCTTGTAGAAGTCAATAATATATGGATTGCTGAAAGTGAAGTGCATTCAGTGTTGAATTTTGCAAGTTGTATTTTGAAGCTTTAAGTGAGCGTACTAAAATAAGGTTGAAATGAGCACCAAAAATGTTAAATTGAGTTGTAAGCTATGACACGTCTGTGAAACAGTTAATAATTGTAGAAGACAAAGTGCCAAGGCTGTGCCCTTCGTATTTTACGCAGAGAACTTTAGCAAGGGAGTGATTCTTTGACATATTGAAACCTACTAGCCATTTTCAAGTGACCCTCTCCAGTTTTAAATAAGCATATTGGGTAAAGTGATCATGCTTTGGAGAAATAAAATGCGTAGGCAAAAAGAAAACATTGGTAAATTGCAGTCCATAAAGACTAAAGATGGAATTTGTTCCTACTGAGTGTATTCGTAAGTGAAAGTAGCCCACAAACCATGAACAGGACTGAACAGAGGCAAAGTTAGTAATATTTGAAATGCTCAAAATAATTCAGTAGCAATCAAACCTCAATTTACACAGACTGTGCTGCAGGTGGTGCTGCTGAGCTGAGAAGACTTAAAATCACCATTCAACCCTGACAGGAGAATAAGAAGGGGTCCCTGGGAAATATGTGCATTTATTCAGTAGCAAATGTGCAAAGCTCACAAATTGAGAGACAGTGGCAGCAGTAGTCAGGCTTAGATATTTTACCCTCTCTGAATATAATTTTAGATTTAGAATCAGCTTAAATCCAAGGGGAAAACACTTTATAAGGTTGAAAGCTGTGTAGTTGCAACAGCCAGGGTTATGAGCTATCAAATGCAATTACATTAAAACAGATTATACTGTGCAAATTGAGCCATTTAGAAGGTGAGAACCAAAGAAACAGCTCTGATCTCCCTTTTTTTCTAAATTGCAGTTTTAGTTCCTTGCAATTCTGAGGTACAAAAGTAGGTGAGACTGCTTTTGTATCTGCAAAGTGCTTCATTTCTGAATGTAATTCTAACTGAGTGCAATCTAGGTTAAAAGCTGGACAACTGGGTAATTAGAGCTCACTCACTGCTGAAGGACGATCAGCTGTACTATAGCTCATCTGTGTTCCCAGAGACTAGTTCTTGTCTCTTCTGAGTGGAGCCTGCTGGCAAAGAAGCATCTACCCCCCAGACTCTTCTTGATCCCTGAGATGATGGTGCTGGACAAGGAGGACGGTAGGTGTGCTTAGATTGCTTAAGCCTGTATATGGGGTGTTCTGTATGTTCCTTACATGAAAACGAATAGTTCTGATCTGTATGTGCATCTCGAGTCCTCTGCCTTCAATCTTATGTTTTCTCCTTTGCTGATAATAGTGTACTTGCTTTTTATTTTTTGTCTGCCCCCCCCCCCCGGCATTCCT